CCCAAAGGGAGAGAGGCGGGCAGAGGACCGGCCCTGGGGGCTCAGATCCAGGTGAGCCTGCAACCCAAGGGTGGGGCTGCACCAGGGGTCCAGAAACCAGCCCCAGCGATGGTTAGTGATGCAAAAGAATGAAGAATCAGTCTCACTGTGTAAGAGCCAACTGTATTCAGTATGTGAACAGCTTCAGTTTATTAGTTACTTCCCGTGATGCACATGAAACACGTCGAGAGGAAGTAGTGCACATATACCGGTCACAGGACTAACTCCTGTTTATGTACCCCCGGATATTAAAGTTTGACATTTTATGGAAGAACACTGCTCGCCACTCCTGCAGAGGGCTGGCTGGAAGAGTCAGAGGCAGCAGAGGAAGCAAATGTGCTGGAGAGGCTGGCGTCAAAAGCCCTCTCGTTGTACATTTGTTTGGGTTAATAAATATTAGAAAAGGTAGAGCCGTGAAAGCTGCACAGGGTTTTGATGCTACACCAGCTCCGGAACCAGCTCCCCGTGAGAGCAGAGGACTGCTTTCCCACAGCACAGCCTCTGGCATCAACTGGGAGGAAGCTGAGCACCAGGTGTGCTGGTGTCGTCGGCCGCCTGGGAGAGGATGGATCAGTGACCTTGCAGAGGACGGATCAATAACCTTACGGAATTCAGACCAATGAGCTTTTAGAAGAACAGATCGATGATGACCTTGTAGAAAGGTAGATAAATGTGAGTGACCATCTCAGGCTGGGCTGGAGAGACAGGAAGTTTTATTTTCTCCTCTTCACACCTAAGGAAGGATGATGGATAGGGAAGACAGGAACTGACTGGGGTTTATTCCAACAGCTTGTGAATTTTAAATGGCTCCCTTTGCCCTCTGGCAGCAAACTTTTAGACTAAGCCGTGACTCTGGGGACCTCCTCCTGGGTCAAGGCCGCAGGGCCCAGGGTCCTCCCAAAGCCTTGACTGCTCTGGCGGCAGCACTCCTGGTTATGGCAAACGGTTCTAACGTGCTGCCTTCAAGAGGCTCTTCCGTGAGGCCCTGCCTCTTTGGCTGAGCTGGTGAAGGCCGTCCCCTTTCTCTGGAGTAGAATACGGGGTGTCTATCCAGACCCGGCTCCCTTCATTCTTGGGTTGTCGATCCTAAGCTCTCTTCCCCTTCACCTTGTCCTCCATGTCGCCACCATGCTTTTTTTTTAATTGAAGTATAGTTGATTTACAGTGTTAATTCCTACCGTACAGCAAAGTGATGCGGTTACACATATACGCACCTTTTAAAAAGTATCCTTTTCCATTATGGTTTATCATAGGATACTGAATATAGTTCTCTGTGCTATAGAGTAGGACCTTGTTGCTCATCCATTCTGTATATACCAGTTTACATCTGCTAACCCCAAACCCCACTCCACCCCTCCACCAACCCTCTCCCCCTTGGCAACCACAAGTCTGTTCTCCAGGTACTAGGCTCCTCTTTTTCTTTTAATGCATTTTGCTGAGCATTTAAAAAAAATAAATTTATTTTTGGCTGCACTGGGTCTCCGTTGCTGTGAGCAGGCTTTTCTAGTTGTGGTGAGCGGGGGGTACGCTTCGTGGCGGTGCACAGGCTCCTCATTGCGGTGGCTTCTCGTTGTGGAGCACGGGCTCTAGGTGTGCGGGCTTCAGTAGTTGTGGCGCATGGGCTTAGCTGCTCCGCAGATCTTCCTGGACCAGGGCTAAAACCCGTGTCCCCTGCATTGACAGGCGGATTCTTAACCGCTGCGCCACCAAAGAAGCCCCACTCGGAAACTTCTGTGTCCACCTCTGTCCCCCCACTTAGGCTATGAGCCTCCCGAGTGGAGACCACACTTTATTTTTTAATTAAAAACTAATCATTAATGAATTTTGGCTGCATTAGGTCTTCATTGCAGTGTGTGGGCTTCTCATTGTGGTGGCTTCTCTTGTGCAGAGCATGGGCTCTAGGCGTGTGGGCTTCAGTAGCGGCACAGGTTCAGTAGTTGTGGCACGCGGGCCGTAGAGCGCAGGCTCAGTAGTTGTGTCGCACGGGCTTAGTTGTTCCGCGGCACGTGGGATCTTCCCGGACCAGGGCTCATACCCATGTCCCCTGCATTGGCAGGCGGATTCTTATCCACTGTGCCACCAGTGAAGTCCCTCAATCATCTAATATAATGAACAACACGATCTGGTCTAAGAACTTCTCTAACAAGAAATAACTGGACAAGCAGAGAATAAAAACAGCAGGCAAATGAGGGCCATCTCACAGACTAATAGCTGTTATAAAACATATATAGTAAACTATTAATTGTAGAATCTAGGTGGTAGGTGTTAAGAATTATTCACTGTATAGTTAACTCTTCTGCATATTAAAATTTTTTCATAATAAAATGTCAAAAAAAGACCATCGTACTATCAAAAGAATAAAAAGGCAACCTACGGGGACTTCCCTGGTGGTCCAGGGGTTAGGAGTCTGCCTTCCAATGCAGGGGACACAGGTTCGATTCCTGGTTGGGGAACTAGGATCCCACATGCCGCGGGGCAACTAGGCCTGTGGGATCTAGAGCCTGTGTGCCACAACTAGAGAGCTGCACGCCACAACTAGAGAGCCCCGTGTGCCGCAACTACTGAGCCCGCACACCACAACTACAGAGAAGCCCACGTGCTGCAACAAAAGATCCCGTGTACTGCAAATAAGACCTGATGCAGCCAAACAAATAACTAAAAAAGAAGAAAAAAAGGCAACCTACGGAGTGGGAGAAAATATTTGAAAATCATGTATCTCATAGGGGGTTAATACCCAAAAAATATAAAAATAACTCATATGACTCAGTAGCAAAAAAAAAAAAAAAAAATCCAATTAAAAATGGACAAAGGGCTTCCCTGGTGGCACAGTGGTTAAGAATCCGCCTGCCAACGCAGGGGACATGGGTTCGAGCCCTGGTCCGGGAAGATTCCACATGCTGCGGAGCAACTAAGCCCATGCACCACAACTACTGAATTCTGAGTGCCTAGAGCACATGCTCCACAACAAGAGAAGCCACCGCAATGAGAAGCCTGTGCACTGCAGAGAAGAGTAGCACCCCACTCACCGTAACTAGAGAAAGCCCGCGCGCAGCAACGAAGACCCAACGCAGCCAAAAATAAGTACATAAATTTATAAAAAAAAATGGACAGAGGATCTGAATAGACATTTGTTCTAAGACATACAGATGGACAACAGGTACATGGAATGATGCTCAGCATCACTAATCATCAGGGAAATGCAAATCAAAACCACAATGAGGTACTGTCTTGTTTAAAATAGAAAAAGCCTTCTTTTTAAAGCTTTCTTTTAGAGTTACCTATTAAAGTATTACAGGTGCAATATGATGGCTGGGACATGCTTTAAAAAAAGCCAGTGGGAGGAAGGGGTGTATAGGTGAAGCAAGATGGACCAAATGTGGGGGTGAGGCCCCAGAGCACATGGCCCAGTTGTTCTATTTTTTTTTCCATCACAAAACAAAAATACAATCCTGGGAACACAGTAGGAAACAAATAATTACACTACCAAAAGGAAACAGATATTTGAAGCAATTATATAGGAAACTCTAGTAAAAGACCCTATTCTCTGATAGGTTATTTTGCCTTCTTTTCTATTGCTTCTTTGGTTTCTAAAAACTACTAAAACTTCACACATGGATAATCGTAGATCCTTTCAATATAGAAGCTTCTTCAAAATATGTGCCAAGATTCAGTAAAATCCACACTTAGAGACAATCCTATAGGACAAACAACTCAGTTTCTTCAAAAATTATAATAATAAAAGAGAAACCTACAGATTAAAAAGAAATTTAAGAGCTATCACTAAAATGTAAGACATAGTGTCTGGATCCTGATTCAAACAAACCAACCGTAAAATTATGAAACAATCAGAAATCTGAATACTGACTGGGTATTTGTTATTATAAAATGTGTTAGCTGTCTTAAGACAATGGTATTGTGGTTGTACCCCATCTTTAGAGACACATGCTTAAGTATGTGGACATGAAAATAAATCATGCCTGGAATGGGATTCAAACCAATCAACTGGGATGAGGGTTCAGGTTGGGGATACAAGTAAAACAAAACTGACCACAGGACAAGTGCTGAAGTTGCAGGATGAGTACACAGGGGTTCATTATACTACTCTCTTTATTTTTGAAAATTTCCATAATAAAATAAGTTTTTAAAAATGAGAGTTTTGTTTTGATACTGTTGTATTATAAAACATTAAAGAATTTCCATTTTTAATGAAGACTTCCAGACTTCCAGAAAAATATAATTTTCTGATGGACCGTTAACTGATACATTAACTTAAATCTTACAAGTTACTTAGAAACTGACAAACAAAAATAATTTTTAAAATATTGTACAAATTACTGAATGTTACTGTATCAATAAAAGATCACTAAAAGCTGGAATTTTAAGCCAAAAGCAGACAACTTTGATCATCTTAACTTCAATTCTAGGTAAGGGTGTGGGCTCTGGAGTCAGCCAAATCTAGGTTTATATCCTAGTTCTGCCCTTTTCTATCTATTAGATAAATGTTTTCTGGCAAGCCATTTAACTTCTGTGAGCCTCAGATCCTACATCTTTAAAATGGGGGTAATAAAATTTCTTCATCAATAAAGCGCTTAGCACAGGGCTTGCCACATAGTAAGTGCTCATTAAATAATTCAAATAATTCCACTATCCTATTTCATCAATTCTAAATGCATGTTTTCATACTCTAACATCTCTGAAATTGGGATGCATCTCATAATTGATGGCATATTATGGTTTAATTGGCAGTTTTTTTCTTTAGTGGTATGTAAAATAATTGGTGCCTACTACTAACAGGTAGCAGCCAAGATTCAATATAATATGGTATCAATCATGATAGAAGGAGATGCCCAATTTCTGTTTTAAGATTTTTCTGAATATATAACCAATTTGAAATTTAAAAAATTTTGAAGTATGAGCAAAATATTTTCAACACAGCACAAACAGAACGGTTTAGAGACAAATTACTTTTTTTAAAAATGGTTTATCAATTCCATTTTTGTATAAAACACATGGGAGAAACCTAGCCAATCAACACACAACTGTTGCCACATGAAAAGATATTTTTATCAAACTTCGAGTCTAAGAACATACAAATGTTTCTTTTTCATGTCTACAGTAATTGTCTATGCTTTTCCACTTAACTGTTTTAAAAATTCCACATATCCCCATTATTTCTTCTGTCCCAGTTACAGTACAATGACGGGGAGGAAGAAGGTTGGTTAGAACAACTCTCTAAGCAGTTTTCTGCTGTCCCTTCTTTCCAATCAGAGACTTGTGGATGTGAGGGATCACACCTAGAATGAAATGAAAAGAAACAGTATTAGTAGAAAAACTTTAAGCTGGCTATATCTTTTTTTTTTGTTTGGCTGCACTGAGAGGTATGTGGGATCTTTAGCTCCCCAAGCAGGGATTGAACCCGTGCCCCCTGGTAGCATGGAGTCTTAACCACTGGACTGCCAGGGAAGTCCCTAAACTGGCTATATCTTACCACTTTAGGGCTTCAACCCCAAAAAGCAATTATATAAAGAATGAGGACCTCCCTGGTGGCACAGTGGTTAAGCATCCACCTGCCAATGCAGGGGACATGGGTTCAAGCCCTGATCCGGGAATATCCCACATGCCGCAGAGCAACTAAGCCCGTGCGCCACAACTACTGAGTCTGCACTCTAGAGCCTGCGAGCCACAACTACTGAGCCCACGCGCCACAACTACTGAAGCCTATGTGCCTAGAGCCTGTGCTCCGCAACAAGAGAAGCCACTGCAATGAGAAGCCCGCGCACTGCAACGAAGAGTAGCCCCCACTTGCTGCAACTAGAGAAAGCCCACAAGCAGCAACAAAGACCAAATGCAGCCAAGGGTAATTAATTAATTTAAAAAACAAACAAAAAGGCTTTTAAAAAAGAATGAAATTTACTTAAGTCCCCTTTCACATTCTGATTCTGTTAAAGTATCTATACCAAGGGGTCCCCACCTTGGGGTCTGGGAACCCCCCTCTAAAACTGTATGTAAAATGGTGTGATTTTATGTGCTGTTTTTTAGAGAAGAGTAACCACAGCTTTCAAGAGGTTCTCCAAATGTGATCCAAAAAGTATTAAGAACCACCAATTTATATCTCACCTTCACTGATCCTGACTCATTCAATTATCTCAGCTCTGATTTTCAAGAGCATATTAAGCAATTTCTCAACATCATTTTTCAAACACAATTTAAAGGATATGGGAAATATTTTAAACACCAGGTTTTAAGCCTCACATATGAAATTTAGATGAAGAACTTGCTAAAATAAAAATAGCATTGTATATGGCTACAAAGAGAAGAAATATGTATTCAGATCATAATGAGAAGTCTAGAATTGTCAGACTTAACACTTTTGGAACTTAAGTTTCTATGTTCTCTAGTTGGTGATACAAATGTATTGGATCATCTATCTGAATTATCTATTAGTTAGGCCAGTTAACAATCTAGGCTGAAGAGGAAATAATACATACCACCCCCAGCTATGGTAGCCTTGATAAGAGAATCCAACTCTTCATCACCACGGATTGCAAGCTGCAAGTGGCGCGGAGTGATCCGCTTAACTTTGAGATCCTTGGAAGCATTACCTGCCAGCTCCAGCACCTACAAAGCATCCGTTGAGATAGCACATCAAACAAGGGTGAAGTGTTTAAGGATTCAGTTTTGGCCTGCAATTATAGCTAAAAAGATCACTACAGCATCTACACACAAGATACATATATAAACCAACACTAAATTTTTTCCAAATTTCTATAATGCTTTTATAGAACTCTCATTACTTCATTTGGTCCTTTTTTTTTTTTTTTTTTTTTTGTGGTACGCAGGCCTCTCACTGTTGTGGCCTCTCCCGTTGCGGAGCACAGGCTCCGGACGCGCAGGCTCAGCGGCCGTGGCTCACGGTCCTAGCCGCTCCGTGGCATGTGGGATCTTCCCGGACCGGGGCATGAACCCGTGTCCCCTGCATTGGCAGGCGGACTCTCAACCACTGCGCCACCAGGGAAGCCCCATTTGGTCCTTTTATATTCATTCTCTGCAAGAGAACTAGAAACTTGAGCAAAAATCTACTTCTATAGAAAGAAAAAAGACAAGAGATAATATCCCTCAGCCAAGAATCTATTCAATAAACGTGAACATCTAGAAATATATTTTAATATACCCATGTAGTCTATTTTTTCATGGCCCTTAACAGCTGAAATTTATTGCTTAGCACTTGTAGAAAAATTTTAAAATATAATTTAAAATAATTTCTTATTCAGAGTTTTTAACATCACTGGGCCCTATAATCTGTAGGCAATTAGCTAGAAGCCCTTTATTCTATAAGGGCAATTTTCAACTAGAGAAATTTCAAAATCCCAGTTGGCCATAAAATTGCATTTTTCTTTTCTTTTCTTTTTTGTCTCCATAGACTGTACTGGCATTATAAAACCTTTGATGGAAGTAACACAAAAATAACTCCACAGAACCTCCTCACTTAAACAGAGTGGTGGGAAGCCTCAGTGTACATCCGAAGCAATCAGCGTGCTTTAAAAACCACCAGTACTCTCTACTCCATTCTCCCTTGCAACCTTCACTGGTCTGGGGTAAGGCCTGGCACCAGTATCTTTTGAAAGCTTCATAAGTGATCCTAGTGTGAAGCCAACGTTGAAAAGTGATTACCCCGAACTTAGATTTCAGTATTTTCTTTACCTCTATTATTGACTAAAACCCCAAAATTAAATATTTGGAAAATACACATTGACTGCATATGTATGTATGTATATGATTATTGTTTAATCTTAAACTAAAAAATCATAAAGTTCCTAAGAATATAGATAATGGGAGTTTAGAAGGGACTTGAAAATCTGAACCAGAAGCCTATGCCTCTACATGAGTGCACAAAATGCATACCTTTCTGAAAAGTCTGCAGGTAAACAAATAAAAACTGGTATAAGAGTGATAAAGCAGAAAGGCTCTTAACTAGTACCAATACAAAAACATTACCAACACAAAATCCCTGCTTGGGACACAGTGAAGTTGAAACTATCAATGTTAAATCTCCAATAGGAAAATAAATGACTTGGTAAGGTTAATGAAATGACAGCAGTGATAATTAACACACAGATTAAAGCTAAATCTTTCAACCTAGCTCCCAACCACATCTTTCTCAAGTAGGAAGCTTCCCCATTTCTATTAGGTTGGCTATCTCTATCAGTTGACTTGCTTGTTACTCAACTTACTTCCCTTGCTTGGAATGTAGTTGAAGGAGTTTCATGGCTTCCCTTTTGTTTTCCTTAGGAGGGATTAGAATGGAGGAAGTGGTAGTCCATGACCTAAGAATTAAGAACTCTTGCCCAATTAACTTATCTTCCTGAAAAGTCAAACTGAGTAAGATACAGCATTTTATGCATACAGTCATGCACAGAACCAGAAGGTTGCTTAAGTCTTTTACCAAATTTTGTTATCATAATATAGTTGTGATATTTAAAAAATATGTATCATCACACTGCCAAGACTTCACCCCACCTCAAATCTTTATTAACTAAGAGTTATGCTGGGGCTTCCCTGGTGGCGCAGTGATTGAGAGTCTGCCTGCCGATGCAGGGGACACGGGTTCATGCCCCGGTCCAGGAGGATCCCACATGCTGCGGAGCGGCTGGGCCCGTGAGCCATGGCCGCTGAGCCTGCACGTCCGGAGCCTGTGCTCCGCAACGGGAGAGGCCACAACAGTGAGAGGCCCGTGTACTGCAAAAAAAATAAATAAAAATTTAAAAAAGAGTTATGCTGTAAAAAAAAAAAAGAGTTATGCTGTAACTTCACAAATATCACCTATCGATTATATACGTATTTCAGAGTTCATTTAATTAGTAGTATGGTATTTAAATTATTTTACACTTGTCACGTCACTTAAAAATATGGATTATTGACCCTTACTTAACTTTAAAAAAGAGCACACCAAAGTTCTATTTGACACTGGTACTAGGTAATAGGCTCATAAGATACATCTAAAGCCGCTATTAAAAGAAACTAACAAGAGTTTGTCTTTTTTATTTCAAACCAATATTCCATGGGTTTTAGCCATTTATGTCCAAGACACCTCTAGGATTCCCATATATAACATTTCCCCCACTAACCTCAGCAGTGAGGTACTCCAGAATTGCGGCACTGTACACTGCAGCAGTGGCACCGACCCTTCCGTGACTTGTGGTGCGAGTCTTCAAATGTCTGTGGATGCGGCCCACAGGAAACTGAAAGAGACCATCCAAATGGGAAGCACTGAAGTCTTATCACACTACTGAATGTAATCAAAGGCTGAATAATATGAGTAAAGCATGAACTAAAAACCAACACCATTCTCCCATTGTGACCCTTTCTTTCTACTTTCTGAGAACAGGCACTTTCTCACCTCCAAAGTCCCCTAATCCCACTTGTCTGTGCCTTTGACTAACCCCACTCCCAACTTTCTTAAGGACCTTCCTTACGCCGTTACTGCTCCATCATTCAACAGCTCCAATTGCTTCCTTTTCGCTGGCTCCTTTCCTTCTGCACACTTCACTTAAAATGTCTCCACGTGTCTACAGCAACTGCCTCCAGTTACAGTCTAGACATCTCCTTTCCAAAGGCAAGATTTAAAAACAAACCCTGAAACCCCTTTCTTGTCACCCATTTTCTCCCAATCCAACCCTGGCTTCTGTTAAACACCATTCTGAAAGACGAGCAGTAACATTTTAACTACCAAAATCTACTAGCCAGCAAAATCTACTTCCAGATTGCATCCTTAAAGAGAAAAGGCATGATTGTTTTGTTTACATCCTTCCCTAATTCTAAGCTCCCCAAGGCCAGGATCCATGTCTTACTCCCTTCTGCATCCTCAGTAACCGCATGCTATCTCGTCTGACACAGAGGACCTCAAAAACTATTTCTTCTGGGCTTCCCTGGTGGCGCAGTGGTTAAGAATCCGCCTGCCAATGCAGGGGACATGGGTTCGAGCCCCAGTCCAGGAAGATCCCACATGCCGCGGAGCGGCTAGGCCCGTGCACCACAACTACTGAGCTTGCGCGTCTGGAGCCTGTGCTCCACAACGGGAGAGGCCGCGACAGTGAGAGGCCCTCGCACTGCGATGAAGAGTGGCCCCCGCTCTCCGCAACTGGAGAAAGCCCTCGCACAGAAACGAAGACCCAACACAGCCAAAAATAAATAAATAAATATATTAAAAAAAACAAACAAAAAAACAAAACCATTTCTTCTTAGGCCGAAGCAATTACATAGTTCTAATACGAACTCTGACTACTCCTCAGTCTTTTCATTCTTTGACTCAAATACCATATCAAATATGGTAGGGGGTCCACCAATGCCTTTTTGATCCTTTCTCATGCTCGACTTAGGAAACTTATCCACAGCACAAGCTGCCAATTTTACGTAAGTGACCTTAAATTTCTAATTCTTTTGATCACCTCTCTTGGAAAGCTAGACTCAAATCTACAACTTTTGGACATTTTCATATGGATGTTTTGGTGGAACTTCAAAACAACTGCAGTTAAATTTATTATTTCATAACTTGCCCCTACTACAAACTCTTCTGCTCCTTAGGGTCTAAGCCTTAGAGAAACTTCTCTTTGACCGTCCTCTCAATCCCATACCCCTCCTCCCATTTTTGGGGAGCATACACAAGCCTTCTATTCTTTTCCATCCTACTCAAGTTCAAGTATGTTATTACCTTATTCCTAAACCACTGCAATAGTCTGTATCTGTCTTCCATCTCCCACTTCAAGGTAAGGACACTTCAAATAAATTCTAATTGAGATTTGCATGATGTTCTAAAATACAGAACGTACCCACCAACTACAAGTTCTCGCCCCCCCTTCCTTCAGTACCATCCAGATCATGTCATCCTCTTCCTCAAAAACTTTCAATGGCTCACTACTGTCAAGAAGATAAAAATCCTAACCTTATAGTCTGGACTTCAAACTTTCCTGTTTAAAAAGTATCTCTTACATGTAGGGAATAATTCTTACTCATCTGGAAAATTTTGAGTTTGTGGATTAAAGCTGCAACAATTTAAATATACGAAATTTGAAACCATTTAGGGCTTTGAGTATATCACTGAGTCTACACTTGAAGGTATTGGGGAAAGATTCACAGGACTAGTGGACAGTTCATTATTCTCTCATCCTGAAAGCCGATGTACCACGACAAACACTCTTTAAAATAAAAGCCACAGCATACTCACTTCAATCTGATACAATTTATAAAAGAACTAGGAAAATAATTATAATCTAGAAATAATAGATTGTAAGAGAGCAAAATCACCAAATTCATTTAAGATCTTTTCATAACTTGTCCTTGTTTAGAAGAAGAGAATACAAATTATATACAAGGGAGTTGCAGGACTTCCGTGGTGGTCCAGTGGCTAAGGCTCTGCACTCTCAGTGCAGGGGGCCCGGGTTCAATCCTTTGTCAGGGAACTGGATCCCACATGCCGCAACTAAGAGTTTGCATACCACAACTAAAAAAGATCCCGTGTGCCGCAACTAAGACCTGGCGCAGCCAAACAAACAAATAAATAAATAAGGCAGTTGCTTTGTGGTTTATATTTTGACCAATTAATCTCATTATCAAAGGCCAGTAATACAAGTACACTTTTGTAATTAAAGAAACACCTATGAGTCATGAATTATAACAGTAAAGAAAATAATGAATTACAACAGCATGGATGTTACCTGTAACCCAGCTCTCTGTGAGCGAGACACTGCCTTAGCCTTGGCCTTCCCACTGTCCTTTCCAGCTTTGCCTCCAGCCTAGGTGGAAAAAATTCCAGATGAAGAGTCGAAAATGCTATTTATTTAGGACTACAAATAAACTTACCTACAAAACAGAAGTACAGTTACAGATGTAGAAAATAAACTTATGGTCCCAGGGGGTAAGGCGGGGGGAGGGATAAATTGGAGGATTGGGATTGACATATACACACTATTATACATAAAACAGAGAACTAATAAAGACCTACTATATAGCACAGAAAACTCTACTCAATACTCTGTAATGGCCTATATGGGAAAACAATCTAAAAAAGAGTGGATATATGTATATGTATAGCAGATTCACTTTGCTGTACACCTGAAACTAACACAACATAGTAAATCAACTATACCCCAATAAAAATTAAAAAAAAATTTAAACTTAGGAAATAAAATTTCTTCTAGTTTTACTTTAGGTAGTTAAAAAAATCTAGGTGATCTTCAATTTTAAATATACATGTGTTATATCTCCATTTATTTTATTTTTTAATAATTTTATTTGTCCCACAACTGATGATGTTCATTTTTTTCTTTGGCTGCACCTTGTGGCATGTGGAACTTCCTCGACCAGGGATTGAACCTGCACCCTCTGCAGTGGAAGCGGAGAGTCTTAACCACTGGACCATCAGGGAAGTCCACCATTTATTAATTTACATAGAAACAAGGTCAAACCTTAAATACTTTTTAAAAATGAGATTTCTAAAAATTTGAACATATTTTTCAAATTTCAGACTGAAGAATCTTCATCAAGTCAATATAACTCTCATGCTAGAAGTATTTCATAATAAAATAATTTTTAAAAATGTCAGTGTGTATCATTTCCACAGAAATATTCAGAACTTAGCTCTATGGGGAGAAAAAAAAGCATCTTAAAAAAAATTAAACAGAGAATTACTCTATGATCTAGCAATTATACTTCTAGGCACATACCTAAGGAACTGGGAACAGGGACTCAAACAGATATTTTCTATACTATTTGCTATTTTGTTTATATCAGTATTATAAACAATAGCTAAAAAGCAGAAACAACCTAAATGTCTACCACGGAAAAATGAATAAACAAAATCGTGGTATATACACACAATAGAATAGTATTCAGCTGTAAAAAGGAAGGAAATTCTGATACATGCTACAACATGGGTAAACCTTGAAGACATTATGCTAAGTGAAATAAGCAAAAGGACAAATATGTATGATTCCACTTACATGAGGTACCTAGTCAAAATCATAGGAACAAAAAGCAGAATGGTGGTCACCAGAGGCTGGGGAAAGGGGCAGAATGGAGAGTTACTATTTAATGGGTACAGAGTTTCAATTTGGGAAGATAAAAAAGTTCTGGAGATGACTGGCAGTACACTTAAAAATGGCAAAAGGGTCAACTGTTATGTGTATTTTACAAAAAAAAAAAAGGGACATACAAACTTATTCTTAAGGGGTTAAACAAATACTACTTTCAACTGATAAAGAAATATTTCTCAAATAACATGAATGGTCACAAACAGGACACAGTATATAAATGCAATGGGATATTATGCAGCCCTTTCAACAAATGAGTTACAGATATGTGCTGATAAGGAACAACTCACAAAACATATTTGTGTAAAAGGCAAGGTATATGCAAGTGCAGTGAGCTTTTGTTTACATAAAGTGGAGTACTGTAGACTGTGTGTACATATACATTTCTAGAAGGTCACACAATACATCAGAAAAGTTATTTGCCTCTAGGGATGGAATACTAAGGATCTGACTTGAGAGGGAAACCAATATTCTCTTTTGGGCTGTTTGATTTTACTACTTAAATCTATTATTTCTTCTCTGTTAAAAGAAAAATTAGTTAAATAAATCAGTTTACATGATTGGCTAGTTGTTTGAGGATGTTTTTGAAGCAGAGGTTAAGCTTTGAAATAGCATATTCCCTTTGTCCCTTTGTAATGGTTTCCTTAAAATACTTTTTAGGCTAAAAATCCCCCCCCATGTTTATCTCCCAAAACCATATGGGGGAGTAGCCATATATTCTCACTTCTTCAAATAAATCTTTTCAGCTCTATTTGCCCTGCTGTAAATACATTAAAAAACCTCTCGGTGCATGAGTCTAAAACTATAATCACTGTCTATGACAATTATGAAATTAGTAGTTATCCATTAAAAACTACCAACTGCAGGGCTTCCCTGGTGGCGCAGTGGTTGAGAGTCCGCCTGCCGATGCAGGGGACACGGGTTCATGCCCCGGTCCGGGAAGATCCCACTGCCGCGGAGCGGCTGGGCCCGTGAGCCATGGCCGCTGAGCCTGCATGTCCGGAGCCTGTGCTCCGCAACGGGAGAGGCCACAGCAGTGAGAGGCCAGCGTACCGCAAAAAAACCCAAAAAACAAAAACAACAAACAAAAAAAAAACTACCAACTGCAAAACTTCCCAGGCTTCCCAATTTACTGCTCTTAAGCAATTTTATCACTTCAAATCCATCATACTTGCTATTTAACCTATTTGCTTTTTAAGGAAGTAGACATGAAATCAGTTTTTTTTTTAAATCTCAGTGTTAGGACTTCCCTGGTGGTGCAGTGGTTAAGAATCCGCCTGCCAATGCAGGGGACACGGGTTTGGCCCTAGTCAAAAAGATCCCACATACCACGGAGCAACTAAGCCCGTGAGCCACAACTACTGAGCCCACATGCCACAACTACTGAAGCCCGCGTGCCTAGAGCCCGAGCACCGCAACAAAGAGTAGCCCCTGCTCGCCGCAACTAGAGAAAGCTTGCGCACAGCAACGAAAACCCAACGCAGCCAAAAATAAATAAATTTAAAAAATATTAAAAAAAAAAATCTCTAAGCTAAATGACTATTTCCGTGGTTTCCGGATACATTTCTCATACTTAACAAAAACAAAGTCTTATGGAATCAAACTTGTGCGAATATAAAATTGTACAGTAAATAATTTCTTTTCAAAACCCCCTCAAACTCTGTATATACACCCTCCAACTTCACACATTCATTTTAATATATCTGATGACTGACTGAGAAACAACATACAAGCACCATAAAATTTTTGATTCTAAGAACTGTGTTAGTATTAACCTGGGTTAAGAATCTCGGTAGAAAATACGCCTATGGAGCCAGCTGGAGTGTATTTCATTCAGGAAAAGTTGAAAACTGGATGCCAAGAAACTTGCATACTAGTTCAACAGATACATGCTCACGTCCCCTCAAGTTTAAAATTCTCAAAACAAGAATGACAACTCCACGCCTCCTGTATTTTTAGCTTATGCGATCGTGCATGTATTTTTAGCTGCTGGTAAAAGGGACAGCCAATATGTGGCAGGTCGCTAGAAATTAAATGAGTGACACCTTCGAAACCAGCAAGGACCAGGAGAATCATCCGCTTGAGCAAATCAGTTTACAGACAGATCTAATCTGTGCCTGAGTCGGCCGGCGGAAGCGCTTCCGTTAACTGCACAACTACAAGTCAGAAACGGGGTGCGACCATCCATAAGGTCGAAGCCAGGTCTAAGACGCGAGAACGTCACAATAACCATAATTTCTGTTTGTGGTTCAGCCCCGGGCAGGGCTGTCTCCGTAGGGCGCTCGGGCGGACACTGCTCGTCGCCTCGGCGTCGCTGCTTCGCTCCCGCGCGGGGCACGGCCACCCTCCAGCGCCTTTCCCTCCCAACTTCACAAGGGGCCAAGTTCCCTCCACTCGCGTTTCTAAAAACCGCACTTTTTTTTTTTTTTACCGACGCACAATTCAGGAGTTAAAGTCGGTGGCAGGGGCAGCGGAGGTGCTGCAGAGCAGCCACGGTTGTCCCGCTCAGGGCCACCCGGCCTCGGCCCGCGCACCTCAGTTCGCGCCGGCGCCGCGGCGGGCGAGGCCGGGACCGCGGGGAACCCCGCCGCCTGACGCCAGCACAGCCGTCGTAGTCGCCTGACGCCCGCCCGCCTGACGCCCACCGCCTCAACAGGTAGCGGAGCCGCCCGGCCATCGCCACCCACCCGGCCGCCCCGCAGACTTCACCATGGTCTCGGCCGCTCCCGCCCTCGGTCCCGCCGAGCCACCGCCGCCACCGCTCGCGCAGCACCGACCGCCGCCGCCGCCACCGCCGCCGCCGGAGCCCGGACAATAACCGGGGCCCGCCTCGCACCACCCCGGCCAATGCCCGCTCGCCTTGCTCGTTTGAACCCCGGCGACCGCCCAATTGCGCGCCTCCTTCTAACCAAACCCCGCCCCCAGCACCTCCTCCCTAACGGCTGTTTGTTTTTGCACACGGCACGCGGAGGCGGAGCCTCCGACCCCAACACAGACGCGCCTGTGCGCGACCGGGGGCGGAGCCAAACGCCACTCTCCGCCTGTCTCCAAGGCCCGAGCCTGACGAACGGAGACACTGACCAGTGAGAGCGGAGAGCTGGCGGAAGTCAGCCAGTAAGAACATCGCCCGCGAGCAAGGAAGGCGGGCCTGCGGGAACGACAGCGGGATTAGCCAATAGGTGGAAAAATTGGTGGTGGCTTTGGCTTTCCCGCCCTTTCTCAGCATCGGTTCTGGGGTTTCTGAGACCTGTTTGGGAAGGAGAGGGTTGCTGTCGTTGCTTCTGCTGGCTGCTTTTCACAGATTCCGAGGGTTTCTCCGTGCTAATGGGAACTCCCTCCGCGGCGGGCACTGTTTCCAGGCCTGGCAGCCCTTCTCCTCAGCGCCTTCCCGCTGGCGTTAGGTTAGCCGCCCAACCTAAAGGAAAGAAACTCGGAAATGGGGTCGGCGTCCCCGCTCCCGCTGCGAAGTTGAGGGACGGGCGCGAAGGAGGGCTTGTCTGCCCATGGCCGCTCCCCACGGCTGCCCTCCCCCCTCCCCAGGCGGCGTGCGGGCCCGGTTGTCCCCGGGACGGCACGCCCGCGGTCGCCGGGGCCCAGGCCCGGGCTCGGGGCCAGTTCTCACCCGCTGCAGTTTGAAACCTTTGCTTCTTTTCACAGCTGTCTGCACTGACCGCGCCGGGCAGCGTTCCGGGTGCGCGGAGCCGTCCGTCCCCGCGGAGATTTGGTTCTGGCGGAATTTCCCCAGGCGGGCATTTCAGAAGTATCACCAGGTGGGCGGATGCTGTCCCAAAGTGAGATTTCTCTTTCGTCTGACACGGGGGACCCTGAGTCTTTAAGGAAATGTAACTTGAGTTCGAGGAGAGGAAGGGGCTGAGCTTCTAAGTAAGAGTTTGGAAAAATGCGAGTGAAGGTGTAGACGAGCGTGAGGAAGGAGGGGCCTGTCAAGGTGGAGGTAGAGAGCAGTGTGCCCAGATGAATGGAAAACCTGACAAGTAGGTGGAAGAGTTAGGAGTTAATTCAGTAATCAGTAACCATTGTTAATTGCTGCCCCTCCTTTCCTGTTTCTGGCCTGAGTGACTGGCATTACACGTCTGCCAAGGCATCCACCTGTGAGTTCACCATCAAACAGTCACCGAGTGATTTGTTGGCACTGTTGGGAGGCACTGTGCTGGGTATTGGGGATTCAGGGGTTGGCAAAATAGACCTGTCCCTGCCCTAACAGTCCTTGACAGCAGGGGTCAGATGTTACAGAAGTAAACAGGCAAATGTGTGAATTACAAGAAATGCAAGTGCATGGAAGGGAAGAAACAGTGCTTTGAGAGAAGCAGAGTAAATGGAATTTAGAAAGGGTGTAATTTAGCAGTGTTCCACGAAGAAAGAGCAAGTATAAAGGCTCTTGAAGTGAGAAAGACTTGTCCCTTGTGAAGGGACTTAAAGCAGGCCAGTTTGGCTGCTGTAATTCTGACCAGATCCCTCTACTTCCTGAATATCAAATCTGGCTTTTTTTATTTGCTGTGTGTATTGCCACTGATTCAGTTTAGCCTTTGTCATTTTTCTCCTGGATCAGTGCAAAAACCTGTTAACTAATGTCCTATTCTCTTCCTCCTTCATTGCACCCTCCACTGTTTCTAAAATACAAATCTTACTATATTTTCCTTTAACCTCACTGACTTGAGAACAAAATTCAAACCCTTAGCATGGTATAGAAAGCCCTACCTTTTTCTGGCCCCTGCTTATCTTATGTTTTGTTGCTTCTCCCTACCACCCCTGAAACTCCATCTTGCCTTTGCACATGCCTTTGCTTGAAACAGTCCTCAGTCTCAGCTGCTCCTTGGCTAACTTTTAATTATCTTTCAAGGGCCACCCCAGACATCACTTTCTTCAGTATGTCTTCCTTGACACCCCTGATTTGGATTAAGTGCCCTGTATGACCCAGTGTATTCTACTGTCATCAGTCCTTGTCATGCTGAACTGCGTTGGTCTCCCTTGGCGCACGGAACTCTCTTTTTAGGTTGTCATTGTTTGCTTGGTACAGTACCTAGTACCATGAAAATGTCACTTGGCTAATGAAAAGAAAGAATACTAACTCATGTTTAGGCCACTTAGATAGGCAGTGTGGTCTGTGGAAAGACTTGAGTTTGAATCCAGACTCCTTTACTTACTAGTTGTGTGATCTGGGTGAGGGATTTAATGTTATCTATTTTGTCATTTGTAAAACTGAAAATAGCAATACCTATTGTACAGGTTGTGACCGAGCACTAGTTCAATAATGTATGAGAAAGTATTTAGCACTGTACCTAGCGTGTAATAAATACCCAATAAATGTTAACTTCTTTCCTTAACAGGAAATTCATTTTCTCACTTGCCACTCTCTACCCCTTAGCCTTCGTGTCATTGATTCAAATTTTGATGAAAATGGAGTCAGATTGACAGAAACTGGTTCTCATCACAGACAATAGTAATCCCTTTAGTGATTTATACATCTTGTTTAGAGATGAATGCAATATATTGAGGCCCACAGACTGAAGGAAAATGGATGGAAGTTTTCTGGCATCTGTAAACAGAAAAACTGCCTATTAACTGTTTTATAAAGCAAGTGTGTTAGTGAATAAAGTCTAATTTACAGTGAACTAGGGTTGCAAAGAAGGCAGCATGAGCTCATAAGGAGCACATCTAACCAGAGAATCTTAGGTACTAGCATCTATAAATTATAAATACTAAACATTAACAAATGATTCAGCTTTGCTGGATTCAACCCAGTAAGATACAGTGGAATGGTTCTCGTAGTGTGGTCCCTAGGCAGCAGCATCAGCACCACCTAGAACTTTTTAGAAATGCAGATTCTTACCCCCAACCACACCTACTGAATCAGAAAGTGGGGTGGGGCTCATCAAGCCCTGCAGGGGATTCTGGTGCACACTAAAATGTGAGAACCACCAGTATAGTACATATAATATATATAGTATATAGTATAGTATAAGCTATGGTACAGAGTTCCAATGCCCTTTTCAAAACGGAGGCACTTATTCCTTCAGCTCCTGAGAGTGTTGGCCGATCATTGCCCGGTAGTCTCTTCCCAGGAATTGTACTCAGCCAGAAGGAGCTGCATCACCCAAGGTTAACCCCTTTCCAGCGGGCAGCCTACTTCCAACGACTGGTGGAAGTGGGGTAACTGCACAGCTGCTTTGCCTTAATTTGGGACAACTCTGAAGGGCCGTTCCAGCTCCAGAATTTTCTGTGTGATTAACACCAGTGCTTGAACTGTATGGCAGTTCAACTTCTCCCTCTACTTAATCCTGCTTCCTTCATTTTCTTATAGTAATGTTGCCAAGAGTATTACTGTGGAATCACAGTAAACTTCTTGAAGGCAGTTAGAGTCTGCTGGGAAGCCTGATCTAAGACGATGGCTTTTCTCTGCAAAAATTTAGTCACTTTTTGATAGGGCAGTATATTCACATGTACAAAAATTTAAAGGTACAAAGGCTGAACAGTGAAAAGACCTTCTCCAGTTATCCATTTTACCTATGCATAGGCAGCCAGTGTTGTCAGTATAGTAGAAGTATTTTAGCCTTTAGAGAGGAGAGCCTTAATAATTACATAGTTTTTGCGGTGCACAGGCCTCTCACTGTTGTGGCCTCTCCCGTTGCGGAGCGCAGGCTCTGGACGCGCAGGCTCAGCGGCCATGGGTCACGGGCCCAGCCGCTCCGCGGCATGTGGGATCTTCCCGGACCGGGGCACGAACCCGCATCCCCAGCATCGGCAGGCGGACTCTCAACCACTGCGCCACCAGGGAAGCCCTGATTCCAGGAGTTTTTAATCCCTGTGTTCAGTTTTAAATTTCCCTTTAACACTGCAGTACTCCCCCTAAATATTATAAAGCCTTTAAGAGACAGAAATTTTCTTCTAGTCAGTCTAGTAAAGGACAGTCAAATTCTTTTTATTTTTTAAAACATCCCTGCTCTTCCCTGGTGGTCCAGTGGGTAAGACTCTGAGCTCCCATTGCAGGGAGCCCGGGTTCAATCCCTGGTTGGGGAACTAGATCCCACATGCATGCTGCAACTAAGAGTCCGCACGCTGCAACTAAGAAAGTCTGCATGCTGCAGCGAAGATCCATTGTGCCTCAACTAAGACCCAGTGCCGCCAAAAATAAATAAATATTAAAAAGAAAAAAAATCTCTGGAGGTTTATGCCAGATCCCAGTGGCTGGGCAGCTATTTCCATGAGCCAGAACCTGCCAGGTTCTAATGAGGTCAATCAGGATGCAGTATCCACCTACTTACTACATTCAGCTTTGTGATTCTGAGGCTGGGACTCTGCAAACATTTCTGCTTTGCCTTCTGCTTCCCTGCTAGGCTTTGCCAGTAGGGAGCACTAGAGGGAAACTCCAAGAGTGGAGGAGGGAGAAGGGACTTTTTCCTTTCTGTGTGCTTTCTGTTCCTCCGAGCATCATCACCCAGCCAATGCTTCTTTACTCTGGCAGCAGCAGTTCCTTTGGTAGGAGCAGCTAAATCAGCTTTTCTAACATTTGTGAAACCAGCCTCATTGCTCCCTCCCCCTTGATGAGCAACCAGCCAGCTCCTTCCTTAGAGGTTTGAGTTCTTCCTAGCTTCACAGGTCCCTTCCTCTAGGTTTCTAAGGTTTTCCCTTTGTTTCTTCAAGGTAACTGCTATTTGTTAACCTCTATGACACCTTAGAGTTCTCTTTTTACCCTTTAACAGTTAACTTTGTATTCAGTTACCAATACTTTGTTAGTTCTCTCTGTTCAAATAACTGGTGTTTTCTGCGACCTGAATGGACCTTGACTGATAAGCCTATGATATATATATTTCCAGTTTTTTATTATGGAAAGTTTTAAACATATACAAAGTAAAAATAGTAAAATGAACCTGATGTTCCCTTCACACAACTGTAATGATCATCAACTCATGGCCACTTTTGTTTTATTTTACATTCATATATACATCTGCCCCTCCCCTCACTGGATTATGTTGAAGCAAATCCAAAGTAAAGGAAAGGGGCAGCAAATATTTTTACAGGAAAATAGTTTCCTTACAAAAACCTTGGGTCATCTTGAATTTGTGCAATGTGCATGCATTGCTTACTTAAACAAGACAAAAAAGAAGAGCAAACAAAAAGCAAGCAGAATGAAGAAAAAAGATTAGAGAGAAAAATAAATGAAATAGAGAAGAAAAACAATAGGAAAAAAATTAATGAAATCAAAAGTTGGTTCTTTGTAAAGTTCAACAAAATTGACAAATCTTTAGACTGAACAAGAAAAAAAGAAGATTCAAATTACTAAGAAGTTAAAGGGGAAATCACTACTGACCTTACAGAAATAAAAAGGACTATCAGGGAGTACTTTTGAACAATTGTGTGCCAGCAAATTAAATAACCTAGATGAAATGGGCAAATTCCTAGAAAGATATAATAAACTACCGAAACTGACTCAAGAAAAAAATAGAAAATCTGATAGACCTATGACAAGTAAATTGAATTAGTGACTTAAAATCTTCCTACAAAGAAAAGCCCAGTCTTCACTGTTGAATTCTATCAGATATTTAAAAAAGAATTAATACCAATCCATCACAAACTCTTCCAAAAAATAGAAGGGTACATTTCCCCATTCATTATATAATGCCAGTGTTACTCTAATACCAAAATGAGACAAAGATACAACAACAAAAAACCCCACTGGCCAATATCCTTTTAATCCAATCAATATGCCATATTAATAGAGTAACGGGCAAAGACCACATGATCATCTCAATGGAGGCAGGAAAAGCATATAACAAAATGCAACACTCTTCATCAAAAAAACATTCAACAGCTAGGATTAGAAGGGAACTTCTTTAACCTGATATATGTCACCTGAAAAACCCACAGCTAATATCATACTTAACAGTAAAAGAATACTCACTCCTGAGATCCGGAACAACATGAGGATGTCTGCTCTTGCCACTTTTATTTAACATTGTACTGGAGCTTCTAGTAAGGACAATTAGGCAAGAAAAAGAAATAAAAGGCATCCAGATTGGAAAGGAAAAAGTTATCTCTTCACAGATGACATGATCTTGTATATATGGAAAATCTTAAGGAATCCACTAAAAGAGCTATTGAGGGACTTCCCTGGTGGTCCAGTGGTTAAGACGTCGCCTTCCAATGCAGAGGGTGTGGGTTCGATCCCTGGTTGGGGAGCTAGGGTCCCACATGCCTTGCGGCCAAAAGACCAAAACATAAAACAGAAGCAATATTGTAACAAATTCAATAAGACTTTAAAAATGGTCCACATCAAAAGAAAAAACTTGGGGGCTTCCCTGGTGGCGCAGTGGTTGAGAGTCTGCCTGCCGATGCAGGGGACACAGGTTCGTGCCCCGGTCCCGGAAGATCCCACATGCCTCAGAGCAACTAAGCCTGTGCGCCACAACTGCTGAGCCTGTGCTCTAGAGCCCATGAGCCACAACAACTGAGCCTGTGTGCCACAACTACTGAAGCCCATGCACCTAGAGCCTGTGCTCCACAACAAGAGAAGCCACCGCAATGAGAAGCCCGCACACCGCAACGAAGAGTAGCCCCCACTTGACACAACTGGAGAAAGCCCACGTGCAGCAAGGAAGACCCAAAAGAGCCAAAAATGAATAAAAATTAAAAAGAAAAGCTTAAAAAAAGAAAGTCAATTGTGGGACTTCCCTGGTGGTTCAGTGGTGAAGAATCCACCTTACAATGCAAGGGACGCAGATTCGATCCCTGGTCAGGGAACTAAGATCCCACATGCCATGGGGCAACTAAGACCACGTGCCACAACTACTGAGCTCTCACGCCTCAACTAGAGAGCCTGTGTGCCACAGACTACAGAGCCCACGTGCTCTGGAGCCTGCACACCACAACTAGAGAGAAACCCACACGCCACAGTGAAAGATCCCGCATTCCTCAACGAAGATCCCACGTGCCACAACTAAGACCCAACGTGCCAAAATAAGTAAAATAAAAAAATAAATAATAAAATCTTTTAAAAAGTCAATTATATTCCATATATTAGCAATGAATAAACTGAAAAACACTTCCATTTATGATAGTATCTAAAAGAATAAAGTACTTGGGAGTAAATTTCACAAAAGAAGCACAAGACATACTTTGAAAACTACAAAACATTGGTGAAAAAAATTAAAGATCTAACCAGAATCTCAGCTTGCTTCTTTGTACTCATTGACAAAACCATCCTAAAATTCATATGGGAATGTAAGAGAGCAAGAATAGGCAAAATAATCTTGAAAAAGAATGAAGTTGGAGGACTCAATATTTCTCGATTTTAAAACTCATCTCTGCTTATTTTCATAAAAATATTACCTTTTAATAAATCAAAGTCTTGGGCAAATGCTAAATCTTGGACAAATGGGACACTGAGACAACAGACAAAAATGGGACTGTCTAGAACAAACACTACCTGTGGGAAGGTTGGGGATGGATGGAGACAGTTAAGAACAAGACTTCTCAATTTCCTTTTCATTTTCTTTTGATTTTGAAATATGTAAATGTCTATTTTAAAAGTTAAAGAGAGGGCTTCCGTGGTGGCGCAGTGGTTAAGAATCCACCTGCCAATGCAGGGGACGTGCGTTCGATCCCTGGCCCAGGAAGATCCCACATGCCGCAAAGCAACGAAGCCCGTGCGCCACAACTACTGAGCCTGAGCTCTAGAGCCTGCAAGCCACAACTACTGAGCCCACATGCCACAACCACCGAAGCCTGCGCGCCTAGAGCCCATGCTCCACAACAAGAGAAGCCACTGCAATGAGAAGCCCACGCACCACAACGAAGAGTAGCCCCCACTCGCTGCAACTAGAGAAAGACTGCGTGCAGCAACGAAGACCCAACACAGCCAAAAATAAATTAAAAAAAAAAAAGTTAAAGAGAAAAGCAAGAGATAAAATAGTGTATAGAATGCCATCTGGGGCTTCCCTGGTGGCACAGTGGTTGAGAGTCCACCTGCCGATGCAGGGGACACGGGTTCGTGCCCCGGTCCAGGAGGATCCCACATGCTGCGGAGCGGCTGGGCCCATGAGCCATGGCCGCTGAGCCTGCGCGTCCGGAGCCTGTGCTTCGCGATGGGAGAGGTCACAACAGTGAGAGGCCTGCGTACCGCAAAAAAAAAAAAAAAAAAAAGAATGCCATCTGTTTATTAAAAACAAAACAACCCACCTGTCTATAGTTTCTTCTTATTTTTAAAAATGTTTATTTATTTGGTTGCATCAGGTCTTAGTTGCGGCACACAGGATCTTTGGTGCGGCATGTGGGCTCAGTAGTTGCGGTGCTCGCGGGCTTAGTTGCCCCGTAGCATGTGGGATCTTAGTTCCCCAACCAGGGATGGAACCTGTTTCCCCTGCATTGGAAGGTGGATTCTTAACGACTGGACCACCAGGGAGGTCCCTATAGTTTTTTTTTTTTAAACATCTTTATTGGAGTATAATTGCTTTACATTGTTGTATTAGTTGCTGCTGTATAACAAAGTGAATCAGCTGTACATATACATATATCCCCATATCTCCTCCCTCTTGCGTCTCCCACCCTCCCTATCCCAGCCCTCTAGGTGGTCACAAAGCACCGAGCTGATCTCCCTGTGCTATGCAGCTGCTTCCCACTAGCTATCTATTTTACATTTGGTAGTATATATAAGTCTATGCCACTCTCTCACTTCGTCCCAGTTTACCCTTCCCCCTCCCCATGTCCTCAAGTTCATTCTCTACGTCTGCGTCTTTATTCCTGTCCTGCCCCTAGGTTCTTCAGAACCTTTTTTTTTTTTTTTTAGATACCATATATATGTGTTAGCATACGGTATTTATTTTTCTCTTTCTGACTTACTTCACTCTGTATGAAAGTCTCTAGGTCCATCCACCTCACTACAAATAACTCAATTTCGTTTCTTTTTATGGATGAGTAATATTCCATTGTATATATGTGCCACATCTTCTTTACCCATTCAAAAAATATGGAACGCTTCACAAATTTGCGTATCATCCTTGCGCAGGGGCCATGCTAATCTTCTCTGTATTGTTCCAATTTTAATATATGTGCTGCCTAAGTGAGCATCCTATAGTTTCGTTTTAAACAATATTCTGAGGCTCCTCAAATTTGACTTGTAGTCAGTGAAAAGACAAAAGTATAAGAAATTCTCTTGTTATTCCAAGTAAAAAGTTGCTCAGCTTGCTGTAAAAGAAAGGGTTAGGATTATAGTATGTAATAGTTTAACACAGACATTTGGTCAAAAATGAGTAAGAAATATAAATTCTATTTTTTATTTATTTCTATAAAACCTATAGCTATCTTTTGGGTAGGTTCCTAGAAATGGAATTGCTGGATCAAAGGGTAACTTCTTAGGTAATGTTGCTAGGTATTGCCAAATGTTTTCACAGGGGATTTTGTGGTCCCACAGCAGTATATGAATGTGCCTGTTTACCCACAGAATTGCCAATGGCTGCCAATGGAGTTTATTGTCAGACGGTTGGGTTGTTTTTTTTTTTTTTTCCCTCATCTGGTAGGTGGGAAATGGTATCTCAGTACAGCTTAAATTTTCATTTCTCTTACGAATGAGATTGAACATATAACTATGGACCATTTGTATAACTTTTTTTTCTATGGATTGTCTGTATCTATTTCTTATACACACGTGATTTGCTTTTTACCTTGATGTATTCAGAATCCCCAGGACCCAAATAAAGGATCCAGGAACTGCCATGGCAGAATAGTCATATTTTCTTAGCTGTTGCCACTCTTTGCCTGTAAGTAAGGCTATAATGCCACAAAATAAATAGTTCTAGCACAGGGAACTGAAAAACTGCCAGTTATGGAGAGTTTAGCTCTTCTTCTGGGAACCTGGATCAGTCTGGAGAGTTGTCATTGGAACATTACGTGTGTCAGTCATCTATTAATATTGAATTTTAACAATGGTAGAGTACCTCCTCCTGAGCATAGTAACCTGTGTGCTCCTTGTTTCAAAGTTAGTACAGTGAAAACATCACAATGCCCGGTCACTGAATCCTGGGAAGACCAAGTTTGTGGGCTTGATGGGCACGTGGAAAGGCCCCCTGTTGGGCCTAAAGAATCAAAGAATGACCACTGCCTCCTGCTCTACTCTGGAACACACCCTAGCAACTGTCAGGCCTGGTCCTTAGAGGGCAGATGAAAGCAGCTTTTAGGGAAAATAGAAGAGCTAGCCCCATCAAAGTGTGACCTTTGAAGGCTAAATGGTAGGTGCAGTGTAGAAACTCCAAAACAAAAGCCCCCAAAATTCCCCATAAACTTGTTTCTTGTCCACAAAAGAGAAAACCTTGAGCTGACGAAAGTTGGGGAGAGTTGAGCAGTTGTATCCGAAAGAGAACTTGCAGTCCCCACCAGAAAAGGTATGGTGTGGAATGAGGAGTAGACAAATGAAATCCCACTGCTCTGATGAGTCACTTTCCTGAGTGATGTCACCAGCTGGGTTTTCACTGCTGGAAAGTCAGCAGCTGCTGGACTAGAACATTCCACATTGCTGACAACAGATCTCCTTCCGTCAGAAGACTGTTTTCTTTTATTCTTCCTCAGAACCTAACATGCTTTCTCTTTTTACATTATTTATACTAGGGTGGGGAATCTGCCTTTCTGTCCTGAACTATGCATTATAGAGGACACTATATATTCATAGGGTGGTTTCTGAATTCTGAGCAAAACCTTCAAGGTCAGAAGCAGCTAGATGTAGGTATAATTTTTTTTAATGTACAGACAAAAATACCTCACTGTAGGTCTTATAACAAATTATTCATTAACAATAATTTCTTAACACAAAAGCTAAGGGTAACTGGGTCCCTGTACCCAGCTGAAAGAATTCTCAGCAATCACTTCATTTATTGATTTATTAATTTTATATGCAAGTTGTTTACCTGAAAGACAAATACACACAAAGTAGAACAGATCTATGAAATGCAACCAGCAAATGCTCCATTTATCAGAACTCACGGAATACAGACATTTTCTCTAAATCTGGAGGCTGGAGAGTTCTTTGTTTTACCACCAGAGAAGGTATATTTGCCTGTGCCAGATTGAATGGAACCTAAAATAATGAAAATTAAATTACTTTTCAATTTAATTTCTGCATAAGAGTTGTTGGCTTTGTGGCACAGCTTAAAAATATGTACATTAGAAAATACCACAGGAAACAGCCATCAATGTACCTAACATGAACTCCTTATTAAACCTATTTAGTTAATACATTTTTTTCAATATATATCAATACATACATAAATGTGATTCGCCATTTAATACTGTTGAGTTTTTTTAAACTATCAAAAAATTTCAAAAGGAGGTATGCTAAATTATTTAACAGTAGTTACCTTTAAGAAGTGGGTTTGGAGAAAGAGAGCACATTCATTTTTATTTCTTTACAGTGATTCTCTTCTGTTCACATTTGTTAAAATAAGTATGCATTAATTTTTAAAAAAATATTTATTTGACTGTGCTGGTTCGTAGTTGTGGCATGTGGGATCTTTTTTTTAGTTCCAGCATGTGGGATCTAGTTCCCTGACCAAGGACTGAACCCAGGCCCCCTGCATTGGGAGCACAGAGTCTTAACCACTGGACCACGAGGGAAGTCCCTGCATTAATTTTTATAATGAAGGAAAGTTTGGAGATTATAACTGCCAAAAACAATGCCTGTCAATTATGAGGGGTAGTGAATAAATGAGGCCAAGGACAGGGCAGTTTTGAGGGTGGGATATCTAGGGAGAGCTTCCTGGAAGAGTCTCGAAGTTGAGAAGATGGGGAAGCCTGTGTGATGGTTGTGTCTTGGCCAGTCCTGTACCGATGGGTTCGAGAGCTTTAGTCCATCCTCCCCAGCCTCTGTTCTATAAACTACCCATGGGAATCCTGATCTATAGTTGAATAAATGGACCACTGCTCATTCTTACTGACTTGGCTATTTCTTGGTTTGACATCTAGGATAGGGAAAATACAAAATGACATAAAAGGAGCTATTTTCAGGTCCACATTGCTTTATGTCACTGATTTCGTATTGAGTACCTGTCTGGTTCCAGTCCACTCCGGCAATGTGACTTGTGTAACCATTTGTGTTCTGGCGAGGACATGATTTTAACAGATAGAGGGTGTGCTGTTGGTACTTATGATTGAATTGGGGATCCTAAGCTGTTCGCCCTGATAGAAGACTAGCATTTTATTTTTTAATCGTTGATACAAATGAATCAAATTGGCATGTTTTTCTTTTATCTTTTTTAACTTGGGGAACTATTTTAAATTTTGTTCTCAGATACGTATCCTGAAAACAATGAGTGTGACCCACAGTTTCCACATCTGACTGCCTTCGGGCAGAAATCACATGAGGTTCTGCAGAGCTTTGTGGAATACCTGTGGATTCATCATGTGTCATCTTAGGCTCCTAGCATAGGCATGTTCTCCTTTCTGTGGCAGTGTGGTATAGCAGATGAGAGAACCAATTTAGATGTGTGTTCACTCTTGCCACTGACTAGTTTGGAGCCCTTTATTGGGCCCACTGAGAGGTCTACCAGAGTACTACAGAAGAGAAGTTACCTCTTGAGTGGGGAATATCTTCTTTTATGGTTTCACTGCTGCTGTCTCTTTAAGGAGTAAAGGCCTGGGCCGGGAATGATGTTGCAAATCTAATTCTTTATTTCTCGACTGCCTGGATTGAGGCTTGGTTACTAGTGAGGGAGACTGGTTTACTCCGATCTCATTAGGAACCTCTCACTTAAAAAAAACCCCATTTATTTATTTATTTATTTTGGTTGTGCCGGGTCTTAGTTGTGGCACGCGGGCTCTTCGTTGTGCCATGTGGACTCCTTAGTTGCGGCATGCGGGAATCTAGCTCGCCGACCAGGGATCGAACCCGGCCGCCCTGCGTTGGGAGTGTGGAGTCTTACCCTCTTGACCACCAGGGAAGTCCCTCTTCATCTTTTTTTTTTTTTTTAGACAATTTTTAAAAAATTTTATTTATTTATTTTTGCGTTGGGTCTTTGCTGCTGCGCGTGAGCTTTCTCGAGTTGAGGCGAGTGGGGGCTACTCTTCATTGCAGTGTGCGGGCTTCTCATTGCCGTGGCTTCTCTTGTCGTGGAGCACGGGCTCTAGGTGTACAGGCTTAGTAGTTGTGATGCGTGGGCTTAGTTGCTCCGTGGCATGTGGGATCTTCCCGGACCAGGGCTCGAACCCGTGTCTCCTGCATTGGCAGGTGGATTCTTAACCACTGCGCCACCAGGGAAGCCCCTCTTCATCTCTTCTTGACGGAAGCACGAGCAAGGAGGAGCACCTACTAGACCTGGTCAAAGCCCAGTGCTAGTGCTCACTACCCGTGAGCCTGGAGCCCGTGCGCCGGCGACGGGACCTCGCCCCTCCCAGGTCCTGACTGTATGATGAGAACACGGACCAGGGCTCTGAGCTGATTCTCCTACTCCTTCCTTCCTCTGTCCACCTACGCTGGGCCCACTTCCTCCCTGGGGTCTGGGGAAGCGACTTCTCAGGATTTGAGATTGCACAGAGGTGTTTTACTGAGGAGGGAGATATGTCTAGTAAGTTTGAGCTGCAACCCATCCTAGCCTCCTGGAGACCCAGGGTCACGTAAACCAGGACTTTTGAACCCTAAATATACCTCAGCCCAATGTGACTTAGTTCCTTCTAGTTCTTCCTAAAAGCTTTCTATTCTTTCTCCGGACTAAACTGTAAGTTCCACTCGGACCGTGGACCATATTTTCTACACCTAGTATATAATACATGGCATATAGTAGCTACCTAATAATGAACTGAATGAATGAATTTACAAATGGTATGACCTCACAAAGGTTATTTAAAAAGGTTTCATCACTGACCACCAGGTGGCTCTCATTTTCTTGAGAACCAAAGGCTTGGCTTCTCTGGGGAAACTAGACACTGTTGTAGGACCTTAGGATTTTTAAGTGTTAAAGGTACTAGCTCAGTCACCCTATTAGTTTATGACAGATTCGGGGATAGTACCTAGCTTACAACATCCACAATACCGAAACTATGAAGTAAAACCCCTATTCCTTGAGGCGCTGGCTCCAATAGAACTC